ATAATTATAATAATAATAAAAACAACAATAACAATAATAACAATTATAGTAAAAATACTGTTTGTATTGTCTCATACAGGTGGCCTTTTGTACAGGTGATTGTCTCACACAGGTGGCCTTTTGTACAGGTGATTGTCTCACACAGGTGGTCTTTGGTACAGATGATTGTCTCATACAGTGGCCGTTAGAGCAGGTAGGAGGGTAACTGTAAGAACTCACGTGGTGCGGCATGGCCACCATCAACAGTTTCCCGTCACGTGTCGTGTCCCCAGAAACGTCTGCCGGATTCCAGTCGAAAGAGACGTAACTTTTCCCCGCTGAGCCGCTGACGCAGTACTTTACGGACGGGTAGTTGGCGTAAACACCGGCGTAGGCGTCAAAGAAGTTCACCCACTGACGGTCCCCGCGTTTGGACGACCCTGCGTAAGCAAGCTGAAGTAGACCCGTGAATTTTCCTCCGCCCTGGGGTTCGAACTGCAGCTCGTCAGAGCTAGAGGTCAGTCGCGCTACCACGGGGGAGGAGAAGTACAAGATGAACTTTCGTGTCTGGTCGGGGAGGTCCGAACCCGGCTCGTTCAGTTCGAGAATGAACTTTTTGTTGGGCTGGGAGAAGTCACCTGGGTGGAAAAGAAGTAGAGTTTATTGTCACTGTCATTGTCATTGTCATTGTCATTGTCACTGTCACTGTCACTGTCACTGTCACTGTCATGGTTACTGTCACTGTCACTATAGCTGTCACTGTCACTGTCACTGTCACTGTCACTATCACTATAGCTGTCACTGTCACTTTCATGGTTATCGTCACTGTCACTGTCACTGTCATGGTTATCGTCACTGTCACTGTCAATGTCACTGGCACTGTCATTGTCACTGTCATGGTTACTGTCACTGTCACTATAGCTGTCACTGTCACTGTCACTGTCACTGTCACTATCACTATATCTGTCACTGTCACTGTCACTGTCACTGTCACTGTCACTGCCATTGTCATTGTCACTATCACCGTCACTGTCATTGTCACTTTTGCTGTCTTTGTCACTGTCACTATCACTGTCACTGTCACTGTCACTGTCACTGTCCCTGTCACTGTCACTGTCACTGTCACTGTCACTGTCACTGTCACTGTCACTGTCACTGTCACTATCACTGTCTGTCACTGTCACTGTCACTGTCACTGTCACTATCACTGTCACTGTCTCTGTCACTGTCTCTGTCACTGTCACTGTCACTGTCACTGTCACTGTCTCTGTCACTGTCACTATCACTGTCACTGTCTCTGTCACTGTCACTGTCACTGTCACTGTCACTGTCACTGTCTCTGTCACTGTCACTATCACTGTCACTGTCTCTGTCACTGTCACTGTCACTGTCACTATCACTGTCACTGTCACTGTCACTGTCACTGTCACTGTCACTATCACTGTCACTATCACTGTCACTGTCATTGCCACTGTCATTGTCATGGCTACTGTCACTATCGTTGTCACTGTCACTGTCACTATCACTGTCACTATCACTGCCACTGTCACTGCCACTGTCACTGTCACTGTCCCTGTTACTATCACTGATACTGTCACTTTCACTGTCACTGATCCCATAATCCACGAGGATCGTAGGGGCGCTGTATGACAGAGAGCTTCGTCAGCTGCCTCCACTTTTCAAGTTTTTTTTCGCGAGTGCTAGAGTTTGGGGGAAGGATTTCCCTCCCTGTTCACTCCACAATGTTGTCGGTCCACCTCTTCCTTTGCCTTCCTCTCCTTCTCCTTCCCTGTACAGTTCCCTGAACAATGGTCTTGGATAGGCCACACGGTCTTGCTATATGGATATGCGGTTTCACTTTTCTTCGTTTAGCAGTAGACAGAAGTTCTAAATAGTGAGAAGTAGAACTAATATGTGAGGCAGCGTGGTGGAATCAGGCTCTAGACAATTTTTGGGCATGTAGAGTTATTGTTATCATCTTAAAGCTTAATCACTTGTCTTTATTTGGGTGGAAAAAATATCCATATATCTTGAGTACAAGTCGAGTTATTTGCGAAAGAAGGAGGTGGGGGTCACTGTTTCCAAAGGTAAAATTAGTGAGAAAATGGATTAATTATTTCCTTAGCTTAAGAGTCCGTGGTAACTGAAAATTTACATTTTTGTACCTTTAATCAACGCTTTTTAGAAAAATCCACACAGAAATGAGTTCTTTAATGGGCATGAAAGGTGCTCAGCTAAAAAACAAAAATTTGATAAAAATTCACAAACATGCGGAAAAATGCCAGTTTCTTCACTTTGATCATTTTGACGAGAGCCTGATTCCACCATGCTGCCTCACATATCTTTAAAAAAAATGTAGGTGTCTTTGCTGTGAAAATTCACCTACAGACAAGAAGCAGAATGAATATCTGATAAACGATTTTAAAGATTAGGTGTTTTTACGTCCCATTCGACACAAGTTCAGTCATTTAAGTGGCTGGTTTCAGACCCTGGCCTGTCAGGGCTTACCAGGGCTAAGAAGGATCAGGGATACAACACCCCTCAGACAGACCATGATACTCGATGAAAAATTACAATTTTTTTCCCTATTCAGGAATCGAACTCAAGTCTCACGCATGAGACAGTGAAATGTCTAACTGCTACTACACCACAGACGCCGGTTTTGTGTCGATCCTCTAGGAAAGTGTAAGTAAGAGTTTTGTGTCATTGGCCACACAATTATACCATTTTGAGAGTCTTCGATTAGAGGTATCCGCTGAGAATAAAACTACAGAAAAACAAAACAAAGAGGAGAGATACATAATGGCACCCAGACACAAGTCACTTAACTGTCTATTCTAGACCAGATAGACACCCCTCCCCCCTTTCTCCCCACTAAAAACCCAACAACCCCCCCCCACCAACCCAAAAAAGAAAAAAGAAACAGCAACAATTGAAAAAAAACACACTAAAAAACAACCCCCCTAGCCCCCCCCAAAAAAAAACAAAACAAAACAACAACCCCACCCCAAAACAACCCCCAACCAAACAAACAACAACCACCAAAAAATCCAACAACAACAAAACCCCCAACAACTCAGCTCCACAGACCTGTGGGCATGGCGGTGAACGTCTGATGTGTGGTGGCCACAGTGTGGGGGGCCGAGGTTTGAGCCCCTCCCCCACTGCTCGTGGTATGAGTCTGTCCAGAGCTAGAGGAGCTGCTCCCATCACCCACGCTGGAGCCGTCACAGCGGCCTGTATAGGGTCGGTCAAGCCAGTAGGTGCGTGGGAACGTCGTCAGGCCGATCACGTTGACTGCTAGTCTGGGGAGAACAATGCTCGACATTGTATTGGTTTGTGTGGTAAACGTTTTACAGCGCTTGCAACTGTAATGAGGTTATATGAGCGCGCTTGTATTGGTTTTTAATCTAATAACAGTAACAATAACAATAACTCATAAAAATAGCAATCACTGCAGTTGGTACGAATGAATTTCTATATCTGTCTGTTCTTGCTTTTTTGGAAATATATCATTTACTGCGGGTCGATAGTTGAAATTCCGAAGTCAGTGGGTGGCTATGGTCACTAAGTATTATTTCTGCCTTTTTTCAGAACGTTTGTCTTGTGCAGATATTCAAAGTTACTTAGGTCTCTACCAATTGTTCTTGATGCCTTTCTGGTCAATTTGTTTATTTTTATGATGTGCTGCCTTCCGAAAGTGCTACCATAGCAAGTGATACCAAAATTTATCAAAGTTTTTTTTGTGGTGGTGCAGAATATCTGAAGGATGGATGGATTCAGATTGAAAAACCTAAGTTTCCTCAGAAGGTACAACCTCTGTCTCACCTTTTTAACGATACTGGTTACGTGATTTTGCCATGCAAATTTGTTGTCGATTGTAAGACCAAGATATTTGTATGAATCCGTGATTTCAATTGTTTCTTGTTCAATCACGAGTGGTGGGATTGTTGGTTTTTCTCTTTTAAAATAAGCTTAAGCCTCCTTCCTTTATTTTTGAAAGGTTCACTTTTAGAAAATTTAAATAGCACCATTTAAAAAAACATACGTACATATTCATTCGAAATACTCTTTTTCATCAGAGTTTATTAATCCAATAATAGCGGAGTCATCTGCAAACTTAATTAAGCGTGTTGTTTTACATATACTGCTGGTATTTTGGTGCTGCGATACGATGACTAACTCTCAGATTCATGATGTTGACAATAACAAAAATAATAACAACAAGAATAACAATGACCACGATGCCGACGAAGATGATAATTATAATGACAATGACGATGACGATGGCGACAACAAAGATGATAATGAGGATGAGGAGGAGGCCGATGATGATGACGACGATGATGTCGACAAATATCGTCAGATAAACAACAAAATTAAATCTATTGTTTATCAGCCACAATGACGATGACGACGACAAAGATGATAATGAGGATTAGGAGGAGGCCGATGATGATGACGACGATGATTTCGACAAATGTCGTCAGATAAACAACAAAATTAAATCTATTGTTTGTCAGCCATTTTATTCACCCACTTGTAGTCCTGCGCAGGCGCCTTGGCCGAGATGACCACAGTGTTGCCCTGTCGGTGACAGTGGGAGGCGTCACAGGTGCGCATGGGCGGCACCCAGCCTGACACCCAGGTGGATTGAGACTCTAGTGCGTACTGGAACTGTGGGATACATGATTGGGTTAAAAACAAATGTGGAGGGTGCTGACAAAATGAGTTACTTCTCGGATTCGAGCCCTGTAAAATTAGATACATCACGCCTATAGGTGAAGTTTTTTCCAATTTATAAGTATGAAAGAATAAAAGGCATGTAATACTTTAAAAATATTGGCATCAATAGAAACTTTACAAATTTGATCCCCAGTGCCGATTTTTGGCCAATTTCTTCATTTTTAGATCGTGAGAAGTAACTCATTTTGTCAGCACTCCTCATTA